TGTCGTCATCTGTTTATATATGACGTCATTCGTTTATATATGACGTCATCTGTTTATATGGACGTCATTCAGTTTATATGTGACGCCATCTGTTTATATATGACGTCATCTGGTTTATATGACGTCATCTGCTTATATATGACGTCATCTGGTTTATATATATGACGTCATCTGTTTATATATGACGTCATTTGTTTATATGACGTCATTCGTTTATATATGACGTCATTTGGTTTTATATATGACGTCATCTGCTCTATATATGACGTCATTCATTTATATAGCGACGTCATCTGTTTATATATGACGTCATTCAGTTTATATATGACGTCATCTGTTTATATGACGTCATTCAGCTTATATATGACGTCATCTGTTTATATATGACGTCAGCGTTTATATGATCGTCATCTGTCGAGAGTATGACGTCATTCAGTTTCTATATGACGTCATCTGTTTATATATGACGTCATTCGTTTATATATGACGTCATCTGTTTATATATGACGTCATCTGTTTGCGCGACGTCATCTGTTGTTATATACCGCTTCATTCAGTTTATATATGACGTCATCTGTTTATATATGACGTCATCTGGTGCTTATATATGACGTCATCTGCTTTATATATGACGTCATCTGTTTACATGACGTCATCTGTTTATATATGATGTCATTCGTTTATATGACGTCATCTGTTTATATATGACGTCATTTGTTTATATATGACGTCATCTGTTTATATATGACGTCATCTGTTTATATATGACGTCATCTGTTTATATATGACGTCATCTGTTTATATATGACGTCATCTGTTTATATATGACGTCATCTGTTAGGCGTTATGACGTCATCTGTTTATATGACGTCATTCTGTTGATATATGACGTCATCTGTTTATATATATGACGTCATTCAGCTTATATATGACGTCATCTGTTTATATATGACGTCAAGTCTGTTTATATATGACGTCATCTGTTTATATATGACGTCATTCGCTTATATATGATGTCATCTGTTTATATATGACGTCATCTATTTATATATGACGTCATCTGTTTATATGACGTCATTCGTTTATATGACGTCATCTGTTTGAGTATATGACGTCATCTGTTTATATGCGACGTCATCTGTTTATATATGACGTCATTCAGTTTATATGACGTCATCTGTTTATGGCGGCGACGTCGCCCGAATATATATGACGTCATCTTTTGCCATATATGACGTCATTCAGTTTATACGGCGACGTCATCGGGTTTATATATGATGCTATCGGAAATATATATGACGTCATTCGTTTATATATGACGTCATCTGTTTATATATGACGTCATCTGCTCGATATGACGTCATCTGTTTATATATGACGTCATCTGTTTATATATGACGTCATCTGTTTATATGACGTCATCTGCTTTTATATATGACGTCATCTGTTTATATGACGTTATCTGTTTATATATATGAGGTCATCTGTTTATATATGACGTCATTCGTTTATATATGACGTCATCTGTTTATATATGACGTCATTCATTTTATATATATGACGTCATCTGTTTATATATGTCGTCATCTGTTTATATATGACGTCATCTGTTTATATATGATGTCGTCTGTTTTATATGACGTCATCTGTTTATATGATGTCATCTGTTTATATGACGTCATCTGTTTATATATGACGTCATCTGTTATATATGACGTCAGTTTATATGACGTCATCTGTTTATATATGACGTCATCTGTTTATATGACGTCATCTGTTTATATATGACGTCATCTGTTTATATATGACGTCATCTATGCCTATATGACGTCATCTGTTTATATATGACGTCATTCGTTTATATATGACGTCATCTGCTTATATATGACGCTATCTGTTTATATATGACGTCACCGTTTATATATGACGTCATTCAGCTATATGACGTCATTCGGTTTATATATGACGTCATCTGTTTATATATGACGTCATCTGTTTATATATGACGTCATCTTTGTTTATATATGATTATCATCTGTTTATATATGACGTCATCTGTTTATATATGACGTCATCTGTTTATATATGACGTCATCTGTTTATATATGACGTCATCTGTTTATATATGACGTCATCTTATATATGACGTCATCTGTTTATATGACGTCATTCGCTTATATGCGCGACGTCATTCGCTTATATATGACGTCATCTGTTTATATGACGTCATCTGTTTATATATGACGTCATTCAGTTTGCGCGACGTCATCTGTTTATATATGACGTCATTCATTTATATGACGTCATCTGTTTATGACGTCATCTGTTTGCGGCGACGTCATCTGTCGGTATATGACGTCATTCGTCGTTTATATGACGTCATCTAGCTATATATGACGTCATTTTATATGACGTCTGTTTATATGACGTCATCTGCTTATATATGACGTCATTCATGCTTATATATGACGTCATCTGTTTATATATGACGTCATCTGTTTATATATGACGTCATCTGTTTGCGACGTCATCTGTTTATATGACGTCATCTGTTTATATGACGTCATTCGTTACGGTATATGATGTCATTCGTTTATATATGACGTCATCTGCTTATATATGACGTCATCTGCTATATATGACGTCATCTGTTTATATGACGTCATCTGGCTTTATATATGACGTCATTCAGCAGCCGGTATATGACGTCATCTGTTTATATATGACGTCATTTGTTTATATATGGTCATCTGTTATATATGACGTCATTCCGTTTATATGACGTCATCTGTTGTAGGCGATGTCATCTTGTTTATGCGCACGTCATCTGTTTATATATGACGTCATCTTTTGTTTATATATGACGTCATCTGTTTATATGACGTCATCTGTTTCTAGTATATGATCGTCATCTGTTTATATATGACGTCATTCGTTTATATGACGTCATCTGTTTATATATGACGTCATCTGTTTATATATGACGTCATCTGTTTATATATGACGTCATCTGTTTATATATGACGTCATCTGTTTATAATGATATCATCTTGGGTGTTTAAGTGACGTGTTGTGGTCTGTTTATTATTACAAGTCCTCGTAATGAGTCCAGTGGTAGAGGGAGGTGATCCTTCAAGGTAGAGGGAGGTGATCCTTCAAGGTAGAGAGTGATCCTTCAAGGTAGAGTGATCCTTCAGGTAGAGGAGGTGATCCTTCAAGGTAGAGGGAGGTGATCCTTCAAGGTAGAGAGTAATCCTTCAAGGTATAGCTGGGCCTTCAAGGTATAAAGACGTCATACTTGAGAATCACTGCTGGGGAGGAGGAGGAGGAGCGGGGGGGACGATAAATCGAGCTCCTCCTTCAATAAGTAACTAATTCAAAGAGAATAAGAGACAAGTTGGAGTTCTCTGTCTTAATACTCGACCATCTGTTACGTCACCCTCGACCCGCCTCCTACTCGGCATTCTTCCGTGTAATTCTTTACTGATAACCAGACGACTGATGTAACTCGCCTCACGGAACTCGTACAAAGTTAGAGCGCTGATTCCTGGTGTGTGTGTGTGTGTGTGTGTGTGTGTCTAGATTCTCGTGATGTGGAGCTGCCTTGGTGTATTATGGAGGTATGGAGGTGCCTGGGTGTCGGGTCCGGTCGCCTGGGTGCCCTGGCGCCGAGTCCGGGTGGAGGTGCCCTGGAGTGTCGTGGAGGTGCCCTGGAGTGTCGTGGAGGTGCCCTGGAGTGTCGTGGAGGTGTCCTGGGTGTCTGGAGTCGGAGGTGCCGCGCCCTCTCTGAGTGTCGGTGCCTGGAGTGTCGAGGTGCCCTGGGTGTCTGGAGGGCCTGGGTCGGAGGTCGGAGGTGCCTGGGTGTCGTGGAGGTGCCTGGAGTGTCGTGGAGGTCTGGAGGTGCCCTGGAGTGTCGTGGAGGCCTGGAGATGTCCTGAGCAGGGTGCCCTGGAGTGTCGTGGAGTGCCCTGGGTGTCGTGGAGGTGCCCTGGAGTGTCGTGGGGTGTCCTGGGTGCCCTGGAGTGTCGTGAGGTGCCCTGGAGTGTCGTGAGGTGTCCTGGAGGTGCCCTGGAGGTGCCCTGGAGGTGCCCTGGAGGTGCCCTGGAGGTGCCCTGAGGTGCTGGTATATCTTCAGTAGGTCGTCTTTAACGTGTCTCCATCAGGATTAAGGCGTAATTCTGGGGGCCGGGGTAGGGGTTGATCCTCCCTTGAACCCGCGGGTGCTGGCTCCTCGTCGTTGGCCCCTGGGAGGATTTGCTTTCCCTGAGTGAGGAGGGAGACGTCGGGAGGGGGCCTTTCTCCTACTACTGCCTCCTCCTTTTCCTCATCCTTCTCATCCGTCCCTTTTCCTTCCTCTTCTCCCATCTCCTCCTTTTCTTCCTTCCTCCATCGTCTTCTCCTTCTTCTCCTCAGGTGATACAAGAGTCAGTTCAAGGTTTACACTCCTACCCCTACTGACCTGACCTGTACACCCAGACGCTACTCTTGTTGTTGTTGTTAAAGACGATATTACTGTTTAGTTTTTTGTTATTGTTTTTATTCCTGTTAGTTATTGTTGTTGTTCCTGTTATTGTTGTTGTTTTTTCCCTGCTGGAGTTGTTAATGTAGTTGTTATTTTGTATTGTATTAGATGGGGTTTTTTTACGGTGTTTTATGGTTCAATAATCTTTATCCCTTGAATCTTTTACCGTCCCCCCACCCCCCGTCCCCTGTGTCATGTTCGTACGTTCCATCGTTCGTCCGTTCCACCGTTGTTCCACCGTCCGTCCCACCGTCCGTCCGTCGCAAGGGTTCAAGATTATGCAATTGGATTTAGTGAGTTTAACCCATTAAGTGTGTGTGTGTGTGTGTGTGTGTGTGAACATCGTGTCTTTAAATTTGGACCTTCGTACAGCCATTGAGTATGATGACTTAACCCCTGAGTACGATGACTTAACCCCCTGAGTACGATGTCTTAACCCCTTGAGAACGATTACCTATTCCATTGCCTAAGATGACACTGTACTCAGTTAAATCATCGTACTCAAAAGGTTATATTGTACCATTGTGTACCTCCTGCAGAAGTTAACACGTGTTCCTTCCTCCTGCAGAACCTCCTCCTGAGCCTTGAGGACCGGGACGCCGAGGAGCTGGTCCTAGTGCTGCAGGGGTACTACCGCCTCCTGACCGAGAACCCTCCCGTCACCCACGTCAGGGATCGCTACGCCCCCGACCAAGGTAAGTACTCCAACACCCTCCCCCCTCCTCACCCTTCCCTCCCTCCTCCTCCTCACCCTTTCCTCCCCCCCTTTCCCTCTCCCTCCCCTTCCCCTCTCCCCTCTCCCCTCTCCCTTCCCTCCCCCTTCCCTCCCTCCCCTCTCCCCCTTCCCCTCCCCTTCCCTCTCCCTCCCTCCCCACAACCCCCATATTTATTGTGTTTATTTAGAGAAGCTGACGTGAACTGACCCCACAAATGATCTTGATGTGAACCTAAAACTGGGTTGCGGTGGCTGAGTGGGTACAGTACTCGTCTTCTGTTCTAATGGTACCTGGTTCGATCCCTGAGGTTATTCTGTTTGATTGTTAGATTATTTTTGTTTGTTAGGTTAAGTTAGGTTGGGTTAGGTTAGTTATTTTGTTAGGTTAAGTTAGGTTGGTTTTGGTTAAGTTAGGTGAGTTTGTGAAGTTAGATTAGATATTTAGGTCATTCTCATGTGCGTTTTAGTGAGTAGACAGACACGTACATGACAAATACATACATGGGAAAAAACACACATCGTACACAAGTTACCAATAGCATAATGCAACCAACGGATAATTTTAAATCACTACAAAAACTCCATAGTGTAAAAATGGCCATAATTCCTGTAAAAAACGATAGAAATGACTGATTTTTTTCCCTGATTTACACATTTACATTATGAAACTACTGAGCAAATTTGATACCAATCGATGAATTATTTTGTTAGTTATTGAAAGATAAATTGGTTTTATGGATGGCCGAATGGAGAGGGAAAGTGAGTGTGACGGGGAGAGGGAAGTGAGTGTGACAGGGAGAGGGAAGTGAGTGACAGGGAAAGGGAAGTGAGAGTAACAGAGAAAGAATAAGAGTATGACAAAGAGAGTAGAATGAGAATAGAACAGAATGAGAGAGAAAGTGAGAGTGAACGAAGGAGTGGAAAGTGAGAGAGTGAGAGAGTAGAGAGGTTGATAGATGGGAGCTGGAGATATTAAAGCAGATTGTCCTTCGGTCTTGCTGGGGAGAGTGGAGGGAGAGTGGGCTCCCCCTTCCTACGGTCCTCTCTCCCTCTCCCTCTCTCTCTCCCTCTCACAATAGCCTCCCAGTTATATTTAAAGCCTGCGTTATACTTCCTGATATATCTACCTCCCCCCCTTCTCCTCCCTTCACCCTCACCCCTCCCTCTCCTCCCTCCTCACCCCTTCCCCTGATCCCTTTATGCTCTTCCTGGAGGGAGGGAGGAAGGGAGGAGGGAGGAGGAGGAAGGAAGAGGAGGAGGAGAGGGAAGGGGTGGGGAGGGGGGGAGGAAATATCCATGTCCTATTTTGGTGAAATTGGTGTTAAGTGAGATTGATGGTGCTGATGGAGGCTTGACCACACACACACACACACACACACACACTAGTGGGAGGTCAGTGGAATGATGGGGGTTGGAATGGGGAGAATGATAGTGATGGGGCTGAGGGACAAGATGATGGGATGGAGGAAGTCGGAAGGTCATGGGGTGATGGGGAGGTGGCAGCAACAGGTAATAGTGGTGGCAGAAGCAGGTAATAGTGGTGGCAGAAGCAGGAATAGTGGTGGCAGAAGCAGTAGGTGGTGGCAGAAGCAGCAGGTGGGTGGCAGAAGCAGGTAATAATGGTGGCGGCAGCAGCAGGTGGCGGCAGCAGCAGCAGGTGGCGGCAGAAGCAGGTAATAGTGGTGGCGGCAGCAGCAGGTGGCGACAGCAGCAGTAGGCGGCGGCAGCAGCAGGTGGCAGCAGCAGGAGGGAGAACCACTGAATCACACACACATTACATTACTGGATGCAAATCTTCCCCACTCGTTTGATTTTCATTGATTATCGGTAAGGGTGCTTGTGTGTGTGTGTGTGTGTGTGTGTGTGTGTTAGAAGTGCCATGGGGGTGGGAGTAGGGGGCACACACACACACACACACACTCTCTCCCCATCACCATCACCATACCAATTGTAAAGTCAGGGACCCATTCACAACTGGATCGACTAGAGGTGCCTCGGGCGTGAACCAGAGACCCTTAGGCCGGGAGGAGAGGTTTATTCACTCCCCCACCGCACACCATTACATCACCGGTAGAATATTTTCGGAAAATATTTCGTATCTGTTATCTTCTCAAAACTTGTGTTTGACCCGACGAATATCTTAGACTGGATTGAGTTGCGTATGAGTTGCGTTGTGTTGTCTTGCGTGTGTTGTGCATCTTACACAGTGTTCTATGTGTTCTGTCTGTCTCGGTGTTATCAGTCAAAAATAATAACACCCGTATTTTACGTATTTTTTAACCGATAATAACGTCCGGATGAAAGCGGCCGAGTTATTTGTCAAAGCGGACAGAGGAAGTTTAGTATAATTAATCATTTAACTATTTTTTTATAACGAAATATATTGTTGACGTGACGTAATTAATTATTTTGGTGTTATGTTGATATTGTTGACATATACTTCGGGTTTTTTCTGGTTTGATATAATTGCGATATGTTTACCCCAGTGTGTGTGGGGGAGGAGGGGGTGTAATGGCAGAGGTAATGTAAAGCAAGGACAGTGCCTCTTGCTCACCTCAGTATAGCACCGTCTTGCCCACTCCAGTATACCACTCTCTTGCCTCCTCAGTATACCACCTCTTCTGCCCTCCTCAGTATACCACCCACTTGCCCTCCTCAGTATAGCAACCCTCTTGCCCACTTCAGTATACCACTCTCTTGCCCTCCTCAGTATAGCACCGTCTTGCCCACTTCAGTATACCACCTCTTGCCCACCTCAGTATAGCACCGTCTTGCCCTCCTCAGTATAGCAACCCTCTTGCCCACCTCAGTATAGCACCGTCTTGCCCTCCTCAGTATACCACCCACTTGCTCTCAGTATAGCACCGTCTTGCCCCGTGTCGAGAATAAGATTAAACTCTCCTCTTGGCCTCAACGCTCAACAATGTCTTATAAACAGGTAATATTTGCATGCTTCTACTGCTAATATTTACTCACTAAATATTTAAAATAAACAATGCAATTCCCCTTAGGCTCGTATCTCTCGTGTGTGTGTGTGTGTGTGTCGTAAGCTGTGTTGAATGAGCCATCTAGCCTTGGGACAAACACTTAAACTGATATGTTATTGTAGAATGTTATCGCCGGAAATGACGACGTCACGAATATGGCGTACTGGAGTTGTTGACAAGAGCGTTTGATGTCAACACGGGATCCATCTTGACTCCTAGAAGCACAACAATAGATTTTCCTTCACTTAAACATCCCCACGTATGGAATTAAGTTTCATATTCGTTTCGCCATTTTGTCGTCAAGTGGTTACAGCGCTTGCCTATTGTTCCTGTCGGTGGTTCGATCCCCAGGCATTCGCAGTTTATCTAGTTATACTTGGGGATCAGATGTGGAGAGGGCCAGGTGTGTGGAGGAGGACCAGGTGTGGAGAGCCAAGTGTGGAGGAGGGCTAGATGTGGAGGAGGGCCAGGTGTGAAAGAGGGCCATGTATGAAGAGGGTCAAGTGTGGAAGAAGGCCAGGTGTGTGGAGCACTAGGTATAGGTGTTTGGAGAACCAGGTGTAAGTGGTGTGGAGGGCCAGGTGTAGGTGGTGTGGAGGGCCAGGTGTGTGGAGGAGGGCCAGGTGTGTGGATGAGGGCCAGGTGTAGGGCCAGGTGTAGGTGGTGTGGATCAATGTAGACCAGCTGTGTCGAGGCTCAGTCTTGCGTGTTGTTGGGCCGCCTCTTACAGCCTCCCGCACATTGCCCTCAAGACGCTGTTCCTCCTCCCGCACGCTGTTCCTCCTCCCGCTCACTGCGTTCCTCCTCCCGCTCACTGTGTTCCTCCTCCCGCTCGCTGTGTTCCTCCTCCCACGTATTGCCCACAGTCCTTCCGCCCACTGTGCTCCTCCTCCCGTTCCTCCTCCCGCCCTGGGTGTTATTCCTCTAGTCCTGGGTGTGAGATAGTCGTGGTGGGCGTGAGGAGGCGTGGGCGGGAGAGCCTGGTGTGGGCGTGGGGAAGGCGTGGGGGAGGCGTGGTGGGCGGGAGAGCCTGGTGTGGGCGTGGGAAGGCGTGGGGAGGCGTGGTGGCGTGGAGAGCCTGGTGTGGGCGTGGGAAGGCGTGGTGGGCGGGGGAGGTATAGTGGGGGGCGTGGTGGGCGTGCAGTACGGTGGCCTTCATGTGGTGGACCTTCATCACTGAGTCATTCCCGTATTGGCTATTGGAAATCGGTGGCCACAGACCTCAATCCCACCCCCACCCCTACAGCCCACATTGTGTATCGTGCCGCCCACACACTGCCCACACACCACCCATATTCCCCCCACACCGCCCATATCCCTCCCACACCGCGCATATCCCTCCCACATCCCTCCTACGCCGCTTAAATCCCTCCCACACCACCCAAATCCCTCCCAATACCACCCACCGTTGACATGCACCGCCCACAACGCCCACAATCACCGATTTGGTTGTTTTTGCTGCTGCCTGCTGCCGTTGTTACCGTTAACGCCATCACACTTACCGTTTATATCACTCTGTTGTCGACACATTAGCGGCAACAGGTGTTAATTGAGGGTAATTATAGGAGCCATCTCACCTGTCAACACGGAGAACGGCTGTCATATATCCTCTCTCTCTCTCGTTGCCAGTACCACCACCATCGTCATCACTACCACCACCACCACCATCACAACTACAACCACCATCATCACTACCACCACCATTACTACCACCACTACCACCATTACTACCACCATCCCTCACTGCACCACACTGAAGGGTTATCAATATCCTGGATTAGCGTGCACCATTAATCACACTCCCCACCATCTCCCATATCCACCATGAAGTGCCTCCCAGCCACCATTCACCATGAACTGCCTCCCAGCCACCATAACTACTATGAACTGCCTCCCAGCCACCATAACTACCATGAACTACCTCCCAAGCCACCATAACTACCATGAATTGTCTCACAAACTACCATAACCACCATAGCCTTACCTAAAATCA